TCATTTTAAGGAATTATCTAATCTTTTGAGTATGTAGAAAATTGAAATCATTCAACGAATAACATTAGCAATATTTTCTTAAAAGTTTTCAGCCGTTCGGAGCAGATCACACCGGCCACCGTGTTAAGCAGGTTTAAACAATTATTGATTGCTTTTAGGTTAATTTAACCCTAAATACAGTATAAATAAAAAAAAATAAAAAGGAAGATTATTTATGATAACCATATTGATATTCACATGTTTCTTTTATTACAATGAATATAACAATAAAATTAAAATTTATACTTACTGGTAAGCATATTTGGTATGCGTATAAAAAAAATATAGTCCATACGTACGCACATACATACTCCGAAGAGTCCGGCTAATTCTTAGTACTGTAATTCTTTCTTTTATATACAAGTGAATAAATGAAACCTGTAAATCATGTTTTATGACATAAGTCTTTATCGATATAGAAAAAAAAAAGTAAAGTTCTAACCAAAATTCGATAGGTTTTAAATGAATTATATGATATTCACAATTTTTTTTATCGAATTTGGTTCAAAAGAATAAGTAGGTGCCTGTTGAAGATAAGTCTAAATTGTTTCTCTCATATGAATTTTAAAAATGACTCACTATTCTGGTTTTAAGTTTATCATATAAAACTAATGTTTTTTTTATCTAAAAAAATTTACAAAATTTCATTCGGAAGTATTCTTTCTAATTAACTTTATATGGCCTAATTTGCGCTAAATTTTCTCTAACGCTAAAATGGATTGTACTAAATTTAACTTTAACATAAAAAAATTTTTTTTACATTAACAAAAACAGAGATGAGTTTTAAAATAAAGTTTTCGATACGTATTTTCTTTTCATTCCTTAATTAGGATTTTGTTTTCTTATCGTTATTGATATGTATAACCTAATCAAATCTAATAACATATCGATATCGTTAAAAACTGCGATAAGGTGGTTATTATCGTACGTGAACACATATCGATATGAGTAATTAAATTATACGTATAATTGCTTATTTCAAAAATTATTACCCATATCAAATATATACGTATAAATATTTCCATTTAATATCAATCATGTACGTACGTATAAATATCATTATTAAGTAAATGACTTTAAATTCGGCGCAAACTATAATGTATAGCAAACGTATTTTACATTATATAGAGGCGTTAATTAAACATAAAGGCGTTTAAATCTTTAACGTTAAATTGATAAACTTGCTTTATTAAGTCGTCTTTTAGTTTTGACCAATAAAAATAATACTACTATAAAAATCCCACTTTTAGTTGATATACTTATAAATGACGAAGTTATGTTTGTTTAACCATATACCACTTTTTAGTCAAATTATAACCTACAAGTTATCCTAATAAGGAGTTATACTATGTAGGATAAATTAAAGGTGGCAAATCAATACTCTTTGCATCGCTAACACTGACGAGATTTCGATGAGCAGAGTTTGATAGTAGCATAGATACAATTTAAAATTATAATTATAATTATATCTACTGTACCAATCATCTAGATTTATAGCCAAGTTTATGTAATTACGTTCAACAACCACATTAGCCTTTTAATGTCTACTCGACCAACTTTTTCCCGTGAAACCGATGATTTTGGACCTTCTGAACTTGGAACAAAGGAATAGTATGTTTAAAATATATATGATATTTAATAATAATACAGTAATAATAAATAATTCAATTTATTATTAAAAAATTATCTTTTAACCTGTTAAAAGTTGGGAGTCGCGCTATGATCAAGAAAATAAAAATTTTGAAGATATTGGTGATATTGGGGAAATTTGGTAAATCTTAGTATTTATCCTAATTAATATTTAATTATAAATAATAATTTATACTTTTACAAAAGGTTTGGTGAAAATAGTGTTGAAAAAATGGTAGATTGGGTAAGAATTTCTTATCATTGTAATTTTCATAATATCTTTTAGGTTTTTATTTATTTATTTCTTAATAGGTCCTATCCAAATCCTTATCAAAATCCTCTACAATTCTTGATATTGGTTGTGGTAACGGCCACCTTCTGATCGAACTAGCGAGTCATAATTTTACAAATCTATTTGGAATTGATTATTCATCAAATGCAATAAGATTGGCAAATGAAATTGCAAAAAGGCGTGGATTTGATAACGTAATTTCATATCATGACATAGATTTATTTAATGAAAACGACGTATTACGAATTGTTAATGATAATAGTGATAGTTTATATAACGTACAAAAGTTCGATTTTATATTAGACAAAGGTACATTTGATGCAATAAGTCTTTCTTCACAACGAACGTCTACAAATCAGCTTTTGCGTGACATTTATTCTACCAAGATCCTTTCATTGCTTAATCCAAATGGTTATTTTTTGATTACAAGTTGTAATTTTACCAAAGATGAGTTAATAGAAAAGTTTAATGGTGGTATGTGACTCATTATATAATCACATATCTTTAGACAAATTAACTAATTAGTTTTTTTTTCGATAGAATTTGATTATTTTGAACATATTAAACATTCAACTTTCACATTCGGTGGAGTGACTGGACAAACTATATCAACAGTTGCTTTTAAATCTAAAAAAAATTAAATAATACTAAAGTCTTTATTCCCACGAATTGTAACTTCTTGTTCCTTTAGTTTTATTTTTTTTGATCTTCAATTTGCGAATCTGAAAGGATTATAATGATATCT